GCCAACCAACCTCCTATATCTTGTAGGGTCTCTAAGAGGCTCCCCCTGTCCAGGCAGAAGCTTAGCATTCGGATCCATAGGAGAGCCAATAGGTCTGCAACCCATCATTCCAGTCTCCTCAAGAATGTCTAAGGCATACTTCCGCTGTGAAATAACAATACTTGAACTAAATTGAGCGACCTCAATACCTAGAAAATACTTCAATCTACCCAGATCCTTAGTCTGGAAGTGCTGAAAGAGATGTTGCTTCAGATTGGTAATACCATCCTGATCATTACCAGTAATAACAATATCATCAACATAAACCACTATATAAATACACAGATTAGGAGCAGAATGCCGACAAAACACAGAGTGATCATCCTCACTACGAGTCATGCCGAACTCCTGAATAATTGTGCTGAACTTACCAAACCAAGCTCGAGGGGACTGTTTCAAACCATATAGTGACCTGTGCAATCTGCACACACAACCATTAAACTCCCCCTGAGCAATAAAACCATGTGGTTGCTCCATATAAACTTCTTCCTCAAGATCACCGTGGAGAAAAATATTCTTAATGTTTAACTGATAAACAGCCATGGACAAAAAGAGACGAACAGATGCTACTTTAGCCACGGGAGAGAAAGTATCACTATAATCAAGCCCAAAAATCTGAGTATATCCTTTTGCAACAAGACGAGCCTTAAGCCGATCAACCTCGCCATCCGGGCCGACTTTGACTGCATAAACCCAATGCCAACCAACTGGAGCTGTAGGTGGTGGAGCTGGAGTGACTGAATCTCCAAAGATGAAACTGGTAGTACCTCAGAAATATCTAAGTGATGACCTGAACCTGTGAAGTATGATTGGGTTTCAAAGAAGGTAACATCAGCGGACATAAGGTACCGCTGGAGGTCAGGAGAATAGCATCGATACCCCTTTTGTGTTCTCGAGAAACCCAGAAATACGCATTTAAGAGCACGAGGAGCTGACTTATCTGTTCCTGGAGTAAGGTTATGGACAAAACAAGTGCTTCCAAAGATACGGGGTGGAAGAGAGAACAAAGGTAAGTGGGGAAACATGACAGAGAATGAAACTTGGTTTTGGATAGCTGAAGATGACATACGATTAATAAGATAGCAAGATGTAAGAACTGCATCCCCCAAAAACGCAACGGGGCATGAGATTGTATGAGCAGTTTCAATAAGATGTCTATTATTTCTTTCAGCTAGCCCATTTTGTTAAGATGTGTACGGACAAGATGTTTGATGAATAATCCCATGAGATTTCATAAACTGCTGAAATGGAGAAGACAAATACTCTCGGGCATTATCACTACGAAATGTGCGAATAGAAACCCCAAATTGATTTTGAATTTTAGCGTGGAAGGTCTGGAAAATAGAAAGCAGCCCAGATCGATTTTTTATCAAAAATATCCAAGTGCACCTAGAATAATCATCAATGAAACTGACAAAGTAACGGAATCCCAAGGTGGAACTGACCCGACTAGGACCCCAAAGATCTGAATGGACTAAAGTAAAGGGTGACTCTGCTCGATTATCAAGACGCCGAGGGAAATGGGAGCGAGTATGCTTATCGAGCTGACATGACTCACATTGTAGAGCTGACACGCGAGATAAACCAGATACCATTTTCTGAAGTTTTGACAAATTGGGATGTCCCAACCGTTTATGTAATAAATCTGGTGAATCAGTAACAGGACAAGTTGTAGAAGGAAGACAAGATGTGAGTCCATGTGATTTAGCAAGGATAAGGTATTAAAGTCCGTTTGATTCATGCCCGGTACCAATGATCCGCCCCGTACTGCGTTCATGTATAAAAACATGGTCATCAAGAAATAAAACAGCGCATTTAAGTGATTTGGCTAAGCGACTAACAACTATAAGATTAAAAGGACTATTGAGAACATAAATGACTGAATCTAAAGGTAAGGAAGTAAGTGGGTTTGCTTGACCTATTGCAGTTGCCATGGTTTGAGACCCATTGGCCATTGTGACTTTTGTAAGAGATTGAAAATACGAAATAGTAGTGAAGAGATTTGTTACCAGAAATATGATTTGATGCACCTGAATCAATGACCCAAGACTCAGAGGATGAAGATTGGGAGAAACAAGTCACGCTATTACCTGTTTGAACAATAGAAGCTATCTCAGAAGATGTCTGCTTACATGCTTTGTACTGAAGGAACTCAATATAATCTGCAAAAAAACTATCTGACTATTCAAAGCATTGGTTCTCATGTCGCTACGAGATGTAGTAGTAGGGTTAACTTGAAATAGTGGAAATAAGTAACTCCGGTGAGAAAACTGAAGAAATAGCTTGAAAAACACTGTTTACAGCAGGAAAACAGAACACTGTTTCTGTGCCGGAAACAACACTGTTCACATTGGAAATGCCGGAATCTACTATAGCTGACGAAAAAACTCAAAGTGGTCGGAATGAAACAAAACCAGTGAGGGTAGGATCGGAATTACCAGGCGATCCTACTGTTCAACTGGAACTTTTTCAAAATCTGGCCGGAACAGTGCTCACGCGCCAGCGCGTGGGTCAGATCTCGCCGAATTTTTTTTTCCAGGCGCGTGGACGTGTGTTTTCCGGTCGGGTTGACTGGGGTTTGGTCGCCGGAGCCTGATGAGTCTTGTGGTGGTGTTGGTTTTTGCACAACACCAACAGAAAATGATTTGCTTACGGACAACCTTCTAAGTCGCCGGAAAATTGCACGGCGAAGAGGTCTTTCTTCCCGCAAGTCGCTGGAATGATGCACAACGACGGGTTTCTCACTAATGCTCCGATACCATGTGATAAGGCACGAGAGTAAATATGTTATTGATATTAGATGATAAATACAATACAAGAGGTCCCTATTTATAGCTATACACTACAAGGAGATATTACTCCTATTCCAATATGGGACAAGAGTACACTATACATATCTGTAAACTAACAATTGTCACAAAAAAAGAAATTGTTTTTATCTTTTCTATTGGATAGAGAACTTCAATTTTTGGGTCCACAAATCTCTCAACTTGATTTTTATTGTGAAAATTGTTACGAAAAGCTTGAAGTGCAGCTTGAAATGTTCCAAGTTCAGATAGCTTTGGTTTTCTTGGAAGTCTTGTTTTACTGTGCTTCAAGTTTGATTTTATACTAATGTGCTAATGTTTCAGGATTGAAATGGCATCTTTGTTCGAGCATCATTTGAAACCCTTAGAGTAGGCAAAGATCCTTGTTTCCAGCAGCTGTATCATTTGCAAGAAAATTGTTCTTCTGTGGAACCAGAATTGTCTTATTGAGAATTGTTTGCAGTAATGCCATTCTTGGACAAAACTGCAATCTTTCAATTTCGTATTTTTGAATATTAAAGCCTTTTTGTTTTTTCTTCGGTTGTCCGTGCTTGCAAGTTGGCCCGGACACCTATTATAAAAATAANCCCCCAATTCTCCAATAGTAGAAAACAAAAGTAAATAACAGAAGAATGATTAATTTTTAATGTGCTGCTACTTCTGTAAGTTTAGATATTAAGGTTAGGTGTATGGAACAGGTTTTTTCTTAAGAAACTTCTGTTTCTTTTCTTTTCCATTTTAAAAGGATATACTCTTCTAACTGTCCTATATGATTAATTCGTTATGTACTGCTAACTTGTGTAAGTTTAAATATCAAGGTTAGGTATAGAGAAGTTTTTTTTTTTTTTTTCTTGTATCGAGATTGTAGAATTAAGTGAACTTACCATTTGAATCCTACAACGTTTGGTTTTGGTTTGAAGACTAAGTTATGCTGATATTAGTTATGTTGGGATTAGTAATCTGATATTATTTATATTAATATTGGAATTGTCAATTTTACTGCTTTATCTTGTGATAACTTATTTTAGGATTACTATTCCTCCCTCTGGCAGGTATAAGTTATTCTGATACTATTTTTATTCCTTGGATAACTTATTCCAGGATTAGTAATTTCTATTTTTATTCCTTGGATAACTTATTCCAGGATTAGTAATCAAAAAAGAAATAAGATGGTACTCAACTTTTATCCGAAGATTATATTTGCTTATCTATCATACCAAACGAAAGTGTTTAGTTACTGTCAGATTAATTTCAAAAAATTTAGCCAATTGGATTAGTTCTTAAATTGAGAGTTCTGAACTTTGTGGGATCAATTGTTCATCCTCTTAAAAAATCAATTGTTAGGAATGTTTGAAAAATATCCTAAAACATGGAGCATTATTATCAATATAAAATGTGAGTTGGAGTAATTAGCTTTTTCGTAATAGCAAAAAGTTTCTCATTATTAGGTGTAAAGCTAATTATTGAGAGACCATTGTTAGTATTAAAAGCATTAGTCCACATTTTATAATGTAAATTGGATATAAAATTCTTGAAACTTGCTTGGTATAGAATTTAGAGGGGACAATAACAGAAGACACGAAAGCAGAGATAATGCCTACCTTCGGATCCACTCCATTCTCATTTGCCAAAAATAAGCAAAACGTTCTTAAGATTCCTTTCAAACTTCAAATATTGCTAACCACCCCCACCCTTCAGATCACCTTGTATAATTTATCAGATTATTGTCATAATTCAACTTGTAAATGAGTTTCATGAGAATGAGACGGTGATGTTTTTAAGACTTTACGTCGTGTCTTAAATTTATATTTACTTTATATTATTTTCAAATAATGTCAACTTGATATATATACTCATTATAATTTAGAAAGATATTATTTACACAAACACATATATAAAAAGAACTTGTTTTTGTAAGGATGACACCCTTACTAAAGAGAAATGAAAAATAAATAGAGATGAAAAAAGAGAAGTATGGAATAACATGATTATCATATGAGAATTTTTTTTTAATTACATTGTATATGTGAAGAGAAGCTTAGAATCAAAGTTAAACATAGAACCATGAAAAAGGGACAAAGAAAACCTTAGCAACAATAGAATGTATTTATGATAGGTTCACTTTAAGCTAACTAATTGTAGGACAATATTCTGATGTTTTCATATACTACATGTTACACTGTTCATGAACCAGAAGAAAGCTAAATATTCCCTCCTAAACTTCCCCTTCTTAAATTGCTGTCACATCACATAAAGGGAAGATGAAGCAAAGTATACCAAGTAGGGGATATAGAGATTTTGACATACAAAGTATTCAGTCATGTCTCTTCCTACTTGGCTGAATCTCAAGATTAATGCCCCTCATTTTGTTTACAAGCCTACATCAAAGCTCATTCCAGCTTCTGTTCCATCAAAGTTGAATCTATCATATACACAACATTTTGAATGTCCAAACTCTCTAATTCCTCCAGCAGACCAGGTTTGCTAACCTTTTCCTTAAACACTCACATTATTTACATCTATATAACAGCTCATGGACCGCTAGCGGTTGAACTCGAAAGGAGTTCGCCGAGAAACTTGCTTTAGGCGAATCCCACATTCAAATGGGATGGAAAGGTTAGGGGCCATTAAAGGTGGGTTCAAGAATTTCAACTGTCGGGTACATGAGCGAACTGCTCAACCAGTTCCCCCGACTTTTGATTTTAAAGGTTCCAAGTAAAATATATGACTGTTCTATGCATACACATATATATCCAAAAATTTTGTAGTTAACGGGGTCCAGTGACCCCTCTTCTCCAAATATAGGTCGCCTCTGACTGTGAGGCCTCAAAAGTTGGGCCAGAGCGGACAATACCTTGGCAGTCGGGCTTGAGTCTGTTATATTTTATTACTGTTTTCTAGTGGTTCTTAAAAGAAGAAAAATGTCAATGTTTCAAGAATCTATAATGTAGATGTTCTTTTTTCTTCACCTCAGATATTTAAAAGATCTTAACTATTGTTGCCAGAATGTTGCAGCAATTGTGTTTGGAGATGGATCAAATTCAAGACTTTATCCATTGACAAAGAGAAGGTCAGAGTCTGCACTTCCTATCGCAGGGAACTACAGACTCATTGATGCAGTTGTTAGTAACTGCATCAATAGTAATATAAGGAAGGTATATGCACTTACACAGTTTAACTCTGCCTCTCTAAATTCCCACCTTTCAAGAGCTTATTCTAGTGCACGAATCGGGAACGAAGCATTAGTTGAAGTCATTGCAGCTTATCAGAGCCCTGAGGGCAAAGGATGGTTTCAGGTAAAGAAACACAAAAGGTAGTTTCAAACCTTTACTATGTGCATGTTTTCCAACTATCTATAAATGCTTGCTAAAACATTCCCCCTCGAGTAGCTGTTAATACGAATAAGAAAAACTCTGATATTGCCATTTCTATGCATTCAATTATTCTACGGATAGAGGAGTACATAGAGTTGAAGACAGTAAGACTTTGTTGAAATTGTTCGTTTGGAACTTTCCCCAAAAGCTAATCATATGTTCTCTCCGTCGGAACAATGGGGGTCATTTTCTTGTATTCTCAGGGAACTGCTGATGCTATAAGAAGATGTTTGTGGGTACTAGAAGAGTACCCGATCCTCGAGTTTCTACTGCTTCCCGGTTACCATCTTTACAAAATGGATTTCCAGGAACTCTTAGAGGCTCACTGGAACAACAGAGCTGATATAACTGTTGCAGTGTTAAGTCGAACGAGGGATAACGATACAGAATTTGGTACTTTCCAACTAAATTCTGAAAATCAAGTCATTGCTTTCAAAGACAATCCAGAGAAGCGAGTACGACTTCCAATTGCTTCATTTGTTTCTCATTAAGTCATTTCATACTGCTAAAAAAGAACATGAATTAGCACTGGAGGTTCTTTAATTTCCTTGTAAAAGATCAACACATTATTTCAGGTACAAAATTCAGAGAAATTGAAAGACATTTCTCATGATAATTTTGCCAGCATGGATATCTATGTTGTTAATAAAGATGCTATGATAAAGCTTCTGACAGAGTATCATCCTTTGGCCAATGACTTCAGAAGAGAAGTTGTACCAGGTGCAATTTCCTTAGGAATGAATGTAAGAGTCATGTATTTTCATATCTACCAGATCTTTAAGATTTTCTCAACATAAAATATCTCCCTCTTGTGGTGTAAACATAGTCAATATTTTGTTTTCGCTCTAATTTAAACCGTTCTTTGGAACAAACAGGTATATGCACACAAATTCAGCGGCTACTGGGACGATATCAGAAGCATTGAAGCTTACTACCGGGCAAATATGGAAAGCATAAAGAATACAAATAAGGCATATTGGTCAGTATCTTCAAAAGTCTCAAGAATAAAAGGCACTACATCCCTTTAATGTTACCCAGAATAGGTCCTTCAATGACTTAATAAAAATTTCATTTTCGATAGCAGCATGTATGACAAAGACTCTCCGCTATACACTTTGCCTCGACACCTACCTCCAACTCAGATAACTGATGCTGTTATAACGGACTCTGTGATCGGAGATGGATGCTTTCTCAATGTATAAAAGTGATCAATTGTCCTTGAAATTTATAAAAAGAAAATTAGAATTTTTATTAAGACCAAGACTATACAACCATTTGGCCTCACAAACATCTTTCTTTCGCGCTTCGTGTTTTCTGAGTGCAGAGATGCAAGATCAGAGGTACAGTTGTTGGCATGAGAACAAGAGTAGGTGATGGAGCAACTGTTGAGGATTCAGTAATAATGGGTTCCGATACCTATCAAGTAAGACACATGAAAACATTTTATTTACTTTCATCGGAGAGATACCTATTCGAGGGTCTATCGGAAACAGCCTCTATCCCAGACCCCATTTGATCCCACTGTGTTTGTTGTTGGAGAGATCCCTTATATTTCTACTTTTGATTCTTATCCACTCATGGTACTTAGGAGGATTAAGTTTCTAGAGAAGGATATTTAACTTAGTGAAAATATGCAGGGCGGTCGCTTAGAGGAGGATATCCACATTCCTATTGGAATTGGAGAAGGCACGCAAATAAGGAAAGCAATAATTGATAAGAATGTGAGAATTGGCAAAAATGTTAAGGTATTTTAAGAGAATTTCTGGTTTGAACATCTATGATGCTAAGGACTAGATGTTTGAATTTGCAAATAAAAAGTCTTATAGCAGAGAACATTGTGCCTTGATCTTGTCAGTTTCATTTTCTTTCCTTTGTCAAACTGCATTCATAATTTATTGTTTTCATGCAGATTTTGAATAGGGAAAATGTCCAAGAGTGTAGTAATGAAGAAAATGGCTACATTATCACTGGAGGCATAGTTGTAATTTTGAAGGGTGCCATTATTCCAAATGGAAGCATTATATGAGTTTCGCTTTGGACAGAAAATATCATTCTTTCAATGATTTGATAGGAATACATAGCTGCAGGAAGTCAAATTGTACACTGAGAATTTTCTTTTCTTGAGACATTTTAGTTCAGACTTAGATAATACAGAATGATGCTGTGATGACTTGAATTCATGTGAAGGGGAATAAATTTCCAAATTCTTGGAATCTTTTAATAAAAATATGTCAGCTTGTTCTTTTTGGTGGAAAGAGTACTGTTTACCCCAAAATTGAGTAACAATTGAATTTGTATCCAGTTTAAAGGATACATAGTTTAATTCAACACGAAAAATTAAGAAGAGCAGATAAATAAATTAAAGATGAAATAAACGATCATACCAATCTTGATGTTATGAACAAGCTTGATCTTAAATTGAGCGGTGATCCCGTCCTCAATTGGACCCTCGGTTCGAGCCCAATAGTGAATGAAGAATAGAAAAAGTAAACAAAGTTCTCAACAATAACTAGAAGGTAAAAACAAACTTTTATTGCCTTGAATTGCGTGTTACAATGTGTCAGACTAAAGAAAAACTTCCCCTTTATATAGTAGAAGAGTTTCGGTCTTAATAAAAGCCATAAAAGGTAAAAATCTTCTTTTCCCGATAATTGTTGATCCATAATTGACATCGAGCGAGATTCGCGTCGTGATATCCGGTTGAGGGCGGGTATCACAACCCTCTATCCATCATGCATAACCGTTCAATGTGTCTCCCGAGGTCTAGAACTTACACTCGGCCCGGGCGCGTCGCTTTTCCACGCCCGGTATTAGACATACCGTTCACCCTTCTTGGGTCTTGATACGAAGGATCTTTGACCTCGGCTGCAAAAACCGGGCATGTGTTCCCCCTTTGTTCTCTCATCGGGGAATCGGGGTAGACATTGCCCCCGATTTTACCCGTATACAGATAGTCCACTTATTTTTCGGAGAGTAGATTTATCTAAACGACGGGAAGCGATAAATGATCCCCGGCTTCTTCCCTCGTACGTCATGACAGGGTTGCTGGATCAACAAAACGGTCCATCAGTTGCATCGCTCTGACTTTGGACACGTGTCAGTCCCCGGTTGACTGTCCTCGAATGCGAAACGTCGCGCATTGACTGTTCTCCCTCTATAAAAGCTACTGCCCCCCTTTTTTACTTCCACGCTTCTCGATTCCAGAACTCTTGAATTTACCCTCGAACTTTCTACTTGCCTTTGACTTCTGCAAATCTTCACATATTGCTCCTTAGATCTTCATATCTTCAGTCCATCTTCAAATCTTCATAGATTTTTTTTGAATCTTCAACCTAGACCTTCATATCTTCATCCCATCTTCAAACCTTCATAGCTTTTATTCAAATCTTCATATTCCCAGAACTCAATGGCGAAAACTTCTAAATTCGTGCCTCAGAAATCCGCCCCTTTATCTTCCAATCCGGCCACAGATGCCGAGGTAGCCATTCCCCAGGTGGCCCAGGAGCCTCCTTTGAAGAGCTTCGTACCTGGGGGCTACTCCGTCGGGAGAGACTTCAACGTCGAGAAAGCCTCCAGTCAACAGGACTGGGGTGAGGGAGAATAGAGGTACATATGCTCCATTACTGAGGAAACATTACCCACAGTCCATAGACTGTAACTGAGAGGGCAAGGAGTTCGTCGTTCCCGAGCCCAACGAAAACATCACCACTCACATGGAGAGGTACTTAAGTATTTACACTTACCCCATCACACTCACCCCGATGGACCCTATAGTTCTCGACTTCTGCAAAAGGTTTGAGGTCTGCCTTGGGCAGATTCACCCATCCTTTTGAAGGATCGTAATCCTCCTCTGACACTTTGAAAACAACACCGAAGCACCTCGGTTCACCCGCGACCATCGGCTTCGTCTATACAGTCCCCGAATCTTCCGGGGGGGGAGGGGGATTGATCAAGCTCGTTCGCTAAGCAAGCAAGGCTCCGTTCTCGAGCATCAATGAGGACCAAGATCGAGGCTGGCAGGGGAGGTTCGTTCAGGTGAAGACCGTAAACCTCACCCCCTCTGAATTTCTACCATTCTACGACAAGTGGAACATATCTCGTAAGTGTTTTCCTTCTTGGGTATTTGGCGTTCCATTTTATTCTCTTTCTAATTGCACCTGTTTGTCGTTGTGCAGTGGTTTCCCGGGTTCGTATTGCAATACCCCATTTCACGGAGTGAATCGAGGGGATTTGCAAATAGATGCCCTACTCCGAGCGCACATGGCACAAGCTCTCGAAGGGAAAGTGGGAGGCCCATTCCCATGGTGAGGTTCTTTCCGAATGATTACATCCATACATCTGACTTATATTTCGCTGAATCTTCTTCTTTCTCACAGGTTTGCCCAAGACCGCCTAGCTCAGGCCGTTGAATGAGGACAAGTATTCGTCCGCACTTGTCGAACCCTCAGCTTCGGGACAGCCCTGTGCCGCCGCAAAGGAGGAGAAAAATAAGAAAAAGGAAGTCCTTGGGTTCCCTGGATGCCGAGGTGAGGAAGAAAAGGGTGTCTATCCGGATCCGAAAAAATAAAAGGAGCTCCAAATCCAGGGTGTCGGATTCTGATCCCCTTTTTCGGTTAAGAGATTACCCCGAGGATGACGACCTCGAGTTAATGGCCCATGAGTCGACCCTCATCAAGGAGGAGCATGCGACAACCGAAAGAAGTGGCAACGAGGTCGATGATCCTCTAGCTTAGGGACCAGAGGGAGAGACAGATGCCGTGGTCTCCCGAGAAGCCGCTCCTATCCTAGAGGAGGTAGACAGTATCATTTACATTGTGGAGATGCCTTACTATACCGAGTTCATGCTTGAAGAGGCCCAAGCAGTCAAAGAGAAGTCAAACGAGACAACATCGGGCCCAGATGATGCCCTCAACACGTTCTTCGATGGCATGGACATGGCCGCGTTAGAGGATTTTTCCGATCTTAGTCACTTGGAGGTCCCAAAAAAGGATGTGCCATCGGGGGCGAGGGAGCCGAGATCGAGCCCAAAATTAATGAATCAATTCCCCGCCCCGAGTGTTGACACTGACCGCAAGAGAATAGTCGTTCTTACTATCTCGACGGGCACCCGAGCACTGTCCGCTCTGGTGGGCATGGCCAACTACCTTTGTTGCATGGTGATCGAGGAAGAACATGCAAAGATGAACAATGTAGGCACGTCGAGCCTCTTCAACAAGGAGAAACAAGCACTAAACTGGGTAAGACGTTTATCCTTTGTATCTTTTGCGGATTTTGCTCACCATATTCTAATTGCTTTGTTATTTTTTTAGGCTTCACTGCTTCACCATGAAAGCTTCATTCAGTCTCGTTTCGAGACCAGTTAGCTCGAGTTTGAGCTCAAAGAGCATATCCGAAAGAAGGACATGTATAGGTCTCTTTGTGAGCAACAAGATGAGGCTCTTAAGGATCTCCCAACTATTCGGGCCGAGCTGGAAAAGGCTCAGAAAGAGGCCTCGTCCGCGAAATGGGATCACGCTGATCTGGTCGAGAAGGTAAGGATATTTATGGCTAAAAATGAGAAGCTACTCGTAATTAATAATGCAACCCCGCAGGTCCAATAGAAGGTAGATTTGATCGACCAGCTTTGGGATGAGATAGACTAGGTCAAGGCCGCGACTGAGGTGTGGAAGGGCAGGATGGATATGTTGGCTTTGGATAAGAGGGAACAAAAAAGGAGATGGCATCAGTCAAGAACCAACTCTAGGTGGCAAAGGACAAGGCCAACAAGTGGTTTCGGCTAAATGATGAACTCCGGGCAAAGCTGAACTCAGCCGTCACGGAACGGGATGCCCTCGGCCAAGAGTATGCCGCGCTGAGGTCCAAGTTGGAGGTAAATTCTAATGATTCCTCCGACGTTAAGGAAATTCTGGCCTAGTATAAGGCTGGTGTAGAGATAGCCGAGGCCCGCTTAAAGATGAAGACCTAGTACGTAAAGCGGCTATCCCGAAGAGAGACCCTCAAAGAGATCCATGCCCGAGGTTTTGACATGTCGGCGAAGGCTCCGAGGATTCCGACGATTATGGTGACGAGTCGAGCCCCAGTTAAGATCGGGCGTAAATGCCTTAGTTCTTTTTAAGCTTTCCCTTATATAATTTCATCTTTGTTTATTTTGAGGCCCTTTAATTGTGCCTTTGTAAATATTGTTTGTAATATATAAAATTTCCCCTTTTTGGCAATATTGTATCTTTGTTTTCCAGCATCTATTTGCGATATTTTATTTTTGCATCATTTTAAATGTCTTAGCGTAAAATCAAATGTAATCTAAAGTATCCATCATTTAGAGATTTGAATGGTAGCTGATTTCGATGGCAACTCGGGGTTACTCGTGGCTTCAAGATATCGATAGAATCGAAGGCTTTTAAGATGTTTAAGTGTCTTAGATGATGTTTTTGCCATAGGTTTCAATTTTTTATAAGGGCCTTACTTTCTGAGTATGGACTTCGGACGTCTCTGAGCCGTTTTAGAGTGGCCGTAGCCTTTTGTATTCGGGCACTGCCTAATAGGCTTGGTACCTCCGGGATTCGATAGCCCAGGTTGTCCGAATTTTTATCAATCGATAGTCATCGAGTAGTGGTAGCCCGTGGGATTTAGGATCCCGGATCGGAGAAGTGAACTGTGCAGTAATAAAGTATAAGGGAAGTAAATGATTTCTTTCATTATTTAATATGTAAGATATATGATCGGGGGTGCATAAGCCTTGTTCCGTGGCTAGAATGGACTATATGTGCACGATTCGTATGACCGTTTGACACTTACAATGAATCCTAGCCACCAAGCCTTTGTTTTTGACACATAAAACTTTCATTTCCTTTGCTTAATATCTTGATCTAGGGGTAACGACCCCGAGTAGTCGAGGCCGAACTTGTGAGGGCTTGGATACCGTTGATTTGGTGCAAACGATCATTAATTCTGGTTCAAGGCCGGTCTTCAAAATTAACGTAGCACATTTTATTGTTGCCTCGTTGAAAACCTTACCGAAAAACCCACCTCGGGATAAAAACGGTTCAAGTGAAAAAGAGTGCAACACGTGCTTTCAGACCTAATATCAACATTCGCCCCTGGCCGGGTACCTGCATGCGTTAGTCCGTAATGTAACAAAATTAAAAGAAATTAAGATCGTACCTTAGCAGTAGTACCACTTTAAGTGTGCCACGTTCCAATTTTTTGGTAGTTTAATGACGT